CCCCAAAACCCCAAAACCCCAAAACCCCAAAACCCCATATAATTTAGAATATTTTGAACTCGAATAAATATTAATAAAATGGAGTACCAGAGAATGATCCAAGTCTTGAAACAACAACCTAAACAACGGAGTGAAAGGGATATTGAGACTTTAGAAGATTATTTTTAAAGAAAAGTAAGACTATTTCAGTAATACTTCAGTCCCAATCAGTTCTTGGATAAAGTTAGGAAGGAAAATGGAGGTAAAGCTCTTAAATTGACGTATAAAGAACTTAAAGTAAGTTATTTATAAACATATAGCTTGTCCTACATAACTGTAAGCCTCATCAAGAAGATCTGGGTTTAAAGCCAGATTGTCACATAATCCCACCGAATAAGAATATAATAGAATACGGAGAGCATGGGATTACTTTTTATATGATTTTGAAAGGAAAAGTTGCAGTGAGAGTCCCCTTATTGCTCGAGAAAAAGATTTACAACTTTCAAGAGCTTTGTAATACTTTGTTTAAATATCATCCCTGGTTTGTCAAAGACGATAACTATAAACATGCCTTGTCCGATATTGATCATTTTTATCCAGAAGCAGTAAAATAAATCGAAAGGTCAATATTTTCTCAATGTAAAATACCTGAAATCAGCTCTTGAGCGAAAACTAGTGAAGAGGAAGATGCTAAAAGAGGATCTTTCTCCAGAATTTTCACCTAAATCTCCTATAAATTTTACTGAAGAGGTTAAAACATCAGAGAGACTAGCTTCAAAGGAAGACCACTATCAACGCTCGTTTTCATTCACCATCTTAAACAAGATCAGAGAGCTAACAGAAGGCTCTTCCTTTGGTGAAATAGGAATCATGAGTAAGAAAAAGAGAAGTGCAACGATTACAACTATCACTGATTGCACTTTCGCCATCCTTGAAAAGTCGTTCAGCTCGATAATCGGCAAGATTTATAGGAGCGAAATCCATCATAAATGAGAGCGATTAAATAAATTCATACTTTTTGACAAAATCAATGAAGTTCTTCAAGAGAAAGCGGCTATTATCTTGAAACGTCACCCTATTAAATTTGGAATGAACTTACTCAGCGAGGGGGATCCCATAAACTACCTCTACTTCATACTGAACGGACGATTCGAGCTGAACAAGAAGATTTATTATAAGTTCAAAACGGCTACACTGCACAAACAGATAGACCCTGAGAATATCAGGTATAGTAAATATTATTGCCAGAAGAGAACTGTGAGGCCCTTGATTGAGAACTTTATGCACATAATGGCTCCATGAGCCCAGTCATTTCCTAAATTCAAAGCCTCAGTGAAGGGATATATGAAGAATTAACTCCAGGATTCTTACACTTGAGAGATATGACATAATTGGTCTCCCAGAATGCCTACTAGAAAGCCCGTATTGCATAATGGATGTAAAGTGAATTTCAAATGACGCAGAAGTATATAAGATGAGCAAGGAGGATTTCCTCTCCTTTATTCCTGCTAGTGAGGACATCCCCACAGCATTACAACAGAAATTACTGCTAATAAACCAGCGTATAAAGAGTCTTTTGTATCAGTAAGGAATCTCACCATGATTTAGACTAGGGTCAAGATTTGAAGAACCATTTGTGGAGAAATAAAGAGAAACGTAGAGTAGGCTTTATCACAGTAAAATTTAGGACCCAAGTATGTTCAAGACCACAAACGTTCTCTCTTTCAAATTTGAGAAGCCGATAAAGAGAGGTAAATATTTTCTAGAATTCTAATTCGATAATATATGATATAGACTTTACTTCTAAAAGGAACTCCTTCTGTTTAGAAGACCCAACAAATATCAAAATGATTGCTTATAAGGACCTCACAATAAACCCAGGTAATCTTGATATCTCACTCTAGACTTTTCAGCTAATAAATTTGAACTCTCAGATGACAAGGAAATAAAAGCTCCTACAAGAATTATTGAAACGAAAGAACTAGAGAAGTTGCTCTCAAAGAGATACCGTGAAAAGTGTTTAAACAAATATGTGAAGAACAGAGGCAAAAATTCTAAGAAGCTTAAAATTGCACACAAAAATATCAATTTTTCTCTCAACAATACTCAAACAAACACTTTCTATCGAGACAACTGTAAAGAGGTTGATTCAGTAGTTAACACTGATATAAAGGCCTTTATGACCCATCACAAAGAGGATATGAGAACTTCTACTCTCCAAGGCAAAGAAAGCATTACATCAATCCCTCAGCACAGAACTTTCCATAAAAATATGAAAAGCAAGCTATAAAAACGAGGGACCTTTCTTCAATTCCGTCAAGTATTGAAAGCAAAGTTGTAGATAGAGCTGGGACTAATAGAGTTCTCAATAAGTTTCTCAAAATTGGCCTGAAAGACAACAAATCTGATCTTCACAGTGTTCTTAAAATCACTGAACTCAGATCCACTCAGAACCCGGAGAGGTTAGCAGTCAAAGAGGTTAATCCTACTTTAATTCTCAAAGATAAGGCTCTAGATGACTATGAAGATTCTATAATAAGTGCACATTTTGAAATGAATCAGAAGTTCGACGACAACTCCCCTGAGAATTTTAGGAACGTAGACATGAATGAGTCCCAAATCCTTTATACAAATAAAGTTTCCCAAAAAGTCAAGATCCTGTCTCCTGTTTTAATAGAACCATTCCTAAAGGACCATCAATGCGATTTGTCAGTGTTCAGTCAGGATAATGAAGAATTTCTTGAGAAGAAGTCTTCTAAATTCAAAGCTGTCTTCAATCACTCCTTAGAGAGAGTAAGGGTTAAGCATAATCACAGTTCTTTTGAAAGTAAATTCCTTGCGATATTTCTAATTTAGGACCAAAGGTGCTTAAAAGCGTCTCCAAAAATGGTAGAATAACGAATGCTTTAACTTCATGAGCAAAGCCAAATTCACACCTGAATCAGCAATATAAAAGGGTTATCTCACAAGCCGCTTCAGCAATGTATCCGTATAAGAATGATTTCTTCCAAAAGTCTGTCTCAATTACAACAACACAGGCTGATTTTCCTCTTCTTCCTTCTCAAGGAGGCCAAATTCCAAAGCCAATAAAGGACCCTAGATACCGAAAATTTCATAAAGGGTTTCGAAAGAGCTTTGGAAATAATTCTACTGGGGAGAACTCTAAACGGTAAGCATTTTAGTGTGCTACTAACTTTAATCTTCAAAGTAGTCCTTGGCATCCAATTTCTGATTCTTTAGTACTTCTATCATACTTCCTATACCTCTCTCATCAATTTAGGACATCATATCCAACAAATTCTCCCACTTGAAACTTACTATCCCTCGTGAGTCCTTCTCCAGCTAGGAGTCCGATCTACCAGCCGCCTTACAAGATGACTAACAGCAGGATCCTAAAATCTTAAGTCATTTACATAATAAGCAAAAGCCCATAAATCCAGTAATTCTAAATTTTCTTAAAATTTCAAAGGCTAAATAAAGCGGATAAGAAATTTAAATTTCCTCAAATTTCAAAATGTGTTTAGCATCTTGTGGGGATTCTCAAACCTTAGTCATGAGGAGTCTTGATTGGGTGATGTAATATCGTTGAAACTAGGAAGTTGGGGGAAATGACATATTTCCACCACATTATTCGTGACCTCAGAGTACATTGGCAATTCTTAGTTCAGAGATTAGCTGTAAATAGCTACTCTGATGCTGGTTCAAGTCTGTTAGTTTTATTATAAATTTATGTACAAAATTCAACTAACTCCAATATGCAAGGGGTTTTGGGGTTTTGGGGTTTTGGGGTTTTGGGATTTGGGGTTTTGGGGTTTTGGGGTTTTGGGG